GCCATTATCAAAGATGGCAATTACTTTTCAATATATCCACCAATACACGGACGAATCAATAATGATAGTCTGTTTTTGTTGCATGAAAAATTTCAAAGCAAAGACTAACTCGTGTATACGAGACGCGGAAGCGAAAATCGCGTCGCAGCTCGTGATGTTACACATGACCACGCGAGAGTGAAAACAAGAAGTACTAAGTATGGGAATCCGTTGGTATAAACCAATGACTTCTGTTATCAATTATAGGCATTTAAGAATATTTGTGGAAATTTCGTAGTTTATTTTGTTCAGGTTAGGTTTCAACTGTTTTATGTATATAGCAAGAAGAATTTTTAGTGTTTGTTTATTGTTTTCATGTTTAAGTATAGCTGTGTTTTCAACAAGGATTTTCCGGAATTGTGTACGCGGCCAGGCATGTTTTAGGCATTTAAAAATATATATATATATATATATATATATATATATATATATATATATATATATATATATATATGCCTGCTCAGGCATATTTGTGTTTGTTTAAGACCCACAGCGGGCCTTAGAGAGCGTATGACTTGTGGCTTTGTGCTAGCACAACCATCGACAGCCCCTGAACAGTTCCGTCTGCCCGATTTCACTCACAAGACTTGAGTCACTTTCCAAGGCTGATGACATCAATCGACATCAATCGACCATAGTGATTCAAACTCGAATCTCTAACCATTCGGCCACCTGGGGAGTGACATCTTCAAGAGCGCATTTGGCCACAACGCATGCCCTGTTTTCATGATGTGGGGTACAACTCTTGCTTGACTTTTATGCTTGCGTAAAGAACACTGAACAGCGCCATATATGCTTCGAACATTGCTCAACTCTTCATGCCGTCATTCCCACAACAAAAAGGTGATGCATTTCCAATGCCACCAGATACACAATATCACCAAAATGGCTACTGTTTTGCGTTTGAGCAGAAAATGTCGTGCATTAAATTATTTTCCATTAAATCGTGAGACATCCAAACATCATAGCGATTCACGAAGTGTTTTCAACTGCCTTACGACAACACTCATATAAAATATCACTGTAATATCCCGTGTCCTAAGACCTGAATTTGGTCGTTAACATCTACTACAGGCCTACCTGCACATTCTTGATCTTCCATATCAGAAATTCCTCTTCCTCATTTATGAATAACACGCTTAGCTATGGCACCATCTCCATAAATGGCACAAGTCTTCTTTACTATTTGTACATATTTTTTTTATAGAAGCACATAAAATGATGAAAATGCATTTAATTTTCTTCCATTATCACTTGTAAAGTAAAAATATTTAAAATTCACAACCCAAACACGAATCGAGTTGAAATGCCACCTTTCAGAATATTTATATATCATAAATTTCTGTCACGTGTGAAGCGATATCACGTGATCGAACTGAAAACAAGTAAATTTTCTTCTTTATTACATCTCTCAGATATGCAGCCCAGTTGACGTTATTCACACTGTTAACCCCACCCTTATAAAAAAAAAAAAAATCAGGGCGTGTATCCAAACTTGGGTATTTACAAAATAACGTTTAGAGTAGTAGGAAATTATATATATATATATATATATATATATATATATATATATATATATATATATATATATATATACGGGGGTGTAACAGCAAAATTGTCCAATTGTGAGATTAAGCTTTTGAACCGTTGTATCATAGAAATGATTAAAGATATCTTATTGGAATTCTCCGAGTGTTTTATAACACTATTGGACTCTACTTTGAACAATAAGAATGTATTTAGCTCTAAGTTGAAATGATGGTCCCTCTTGCTGTTGTGACCTCCTGATCCAGTTTTCCTCTCTACTGTTCCCTCTTTTTAAAACTTATTAACCATTCTCTTAATTGTTCTTGAATGGACTTTGAAGATGGAAGCCGGAATTTGAATGTTGGTACCATTACTGAAGGCCTAAATAATCTTTTTCCTCTCACCATTGTTCATTTGAGAAGACATAGTGGGGCTGACATAAAATCATTTTAACTTTTTCTCTTTCCAGCTTAATAACTCAAAGGGTTTTTCAGTGATTCTTACGACAGATGGTATCAACATGGCTAAACGTCTTATCTGTAAACCTGGAAAAAAGAAATTCATTTAGTTTAGTGGCTTTTTAGATATTATGGACAATTTTCCCATGCTGTTACACTGATATATATATATATATATATATATATATATATATATATATATATATATATATATATATATTAAGAAGTGCTTACACATGGCCGATTTTCTTAGTTTGATAGGAACTCGCAGAGACTATTCTTATCTTCTGTATACTCAACTGCTTTACCAAAGATGATGAAATAACTAAGAAACTTGACACATTTCCAGTCTGATGGCGGAAAACGTATTCTTTACAAGAAAGGGATATTGCAATTACATATTCCTAATCCAGAGAACCAAACAGGAAAGGGAAGGAATAAGTCCGCAGACGTTTTAGAAGTCTGTTAAAGCTTTGGTAAGATTATTTGCCATTTTTTTGCCGGCAACATCCGAACAGTATTTATTGTTCAGCTTAGTGAATCAGTAATAGGCTAGCTGTTCCCAAAGCGATCAAGATATTTTGGTGATTTCTTACTCCACTGAAGGGGAAGGAATCGTTTTCCATCATAAGTATTTTCTATGCACGCCTGTCAGACTTGGCTGACTATTGGTACTTTATACTACAAAATGTGAATCAGAATCACGCACGCATGTTTATGTATAAATTGATATATTACAAGTTCAGTATGCGACACCGAAATCTGAAGGCTCGTGGAATAGCTAAAGATGCCTTTCAAAAGCCAAGCGAAGTATTAAGAAACAGGAAAAAGTCGTTAGGAACAAAGAAAAGAGTACTGAGCTGTTATGTAATATCTCATCACAGATGAAGAAGAGACCTTAGCCAACAGAAATGTAGTTCTACCGAATAATACTGGAAATACCATAGATTGAACATGCTAGTAACGTGGAAAATGGTAAAAAGTCCACATGCTTAGAATCAGAAAGAGATCGCTGAAAATTCTAGGGCACAATGAGGAAGGAGATCTTGGAGAATTTGAAACTCACGGGACATATTGAAGCCCAGAGGAAAAGCAGCAAAGAACCTACCTATCGAGTTTGTATAAATCGTTTGCAGATAAGGAATTAATAGATATGGCAAAAAGACAAGAGCTACAAACGTTATGGAGAGCCATAATCGCCCGCATCCTGCAAGGATACAACATATAGAAGAAGAAGAAGAAAAAGAAGAAGAAGAAGAAAAAGAAAAGGTGGCGTAAAAGTTAACGATGCGGAGAAACGGAATTGGTAAACTGAGTTCATATTTTGGTTAAAGCTGTTTATATTTATTTAGCGTCAGTAATTTTAAAGGAATCAATCGAAACTTTTATCTGATATTATTTCCTACTCTAAACATTATTAAACGTCTTTTTTGAACAGTGTGAAATACGTCTACTGGCCCCCGCATTCGAGGTATTTAAGAAAGGGAAATGTGCTCTCGTGCAGGGTCCGAACACTGGGTCTACCTGGGTAGGAGAAACCACCCGTTAAGCCACCGTTCTTTAAACAACTCGGACACAGTGAGTGTCATTTCACAACGAGTGACAAAGAAAAAGGTAAATGTTGCAGGACTTGGGCAAACCATTCTCCCATGACTATTACCCAGACAGTAATTTTCCAGACGAATAACGTCCTGGGTATGACGATAAACTACATCCACGTCCTGGGTAAGACGATAAACTACACCCAACAGCATTACCTTTGATTAGGAGGCTCTTAGTTGCTGTTGTTACCAGGTCCACCCTGACCGGGGGTGGTAGCAACTGTCAGTGTTCAAGCTATGGGCAAATAAGTACCCCCCCCCAAAAAAAAAGACAAAACTGGGGTCAAACCCTATGAAAGTGTAAAAATAGGTTTTAATACCAGCAATATGTTTTTGTTAAAAAATTACAAGCGACAATTTTTTGAAGAAAAATTATTACATATTACGTTACCAGCAATACATTTTTGAAGAAAAATATTACCAGCAATAAAAATCTTGTCGGCATTAAATAACCCATTGTGGTTGATATAACGTAAAACAAACCAAACCAAACCAAACCAAACCAAAACAAACCAGATGAATATCTGACATGAAGTCAGTATTTTCCAGTTGTCTGAAGTTTTTTTCCATCTGGATTCTTTCTTTTTAGGTGCCATGTCCTTTCAGGACGTAGGCAATCATGGATCTCCACCTCTCTCTATCCCTTGCAGCTCTCAACAAGTTCCTTCCCTCTGCTACCTCCCCTAGACCACGTTGTGTCATCTACTTGCTTAAGCCCGCCAGGTATGTCACGCGTTGTTTTCCCTTGTCTCTTTTTCCTTCTATTCGACCGGAGAGTATCAGATTCTCCAAGCCCTCCTTCCTCATTATGTGTCCCAGAAACTTCATCTGCCTCTTCCTGATGTTAAGTATAAGACTCCTCCTTGTTTGCATCCTGTCTAAGACCTTTTCGCTGCTCACACGCTCGGTCCATGATATCCTTAGCATCCTTCTGTAGAACCACGTGTCTGTCACCTCGAGTCTCTTCTTTATCTTTGAGGAAATTGTCCAACATTCGCTGCCGTGAAGGACAGATGTCACGTAACAGCTCAATATTCTTTTCCTTCTGTCTCGCAATACTCTGCCCAGATTTTGGAATGCGTCCTTGGATTAAGCAAATTTAAAACGCATAATTAAAACTTAGTGTTTTCCATTGACATTCCATTGTGGATCAACATTCTAGCGGAAAACGAAAAAAAAAAAAAAAGGGTAACAATTAAGCCAAAACAAATGTGCGTAAAACAATACAAAAGTTCATAAAGACTGTTCAGCGGATTTATAACTAGGACAGGGGTTCCTAAACTGGAGGGGAATTCGCTCGGGGGTGGGGTTTAGATTTCAGGGTTTGGTGGAGAATCTTTAACTTTTTCTTGTTTTTTTTTTATTACTTACGGCCACATTCAAACACCGATTCTCGTCCGATCACCGAAGTTAGACAACGTCGTGCCTGGTCAGTACCTCGATGGGTAACCACTTGGGAATACTAGGTGCTGTAAGCTTGGATGTGCAGGTGGTTTAATAGATAATGGCTCAGAATTAGTAATTGGAGAGCCGATTTCCAATTCCAGTTGGGTTCGTTATATTCACTTACGTGCAAATACAATTGGGAAAAGTATAAAACCAAATATTCTTCTCCCAGCTATGGATTAATTACTAAGACTTGTATCACTAAGACCTTTATTATCTCAAAAATAAAAAATAAATAAATAGAATAAAATTGCGTACAAAATATTCAGATTTAGATATTTACAATTGTTTTATAATTTACAAAATCCGGAGACCACCATGACTTTAAAAAATCCACTATAGAAATAATCCATGGATACGGAAAAAAAATGGAGATTTTTAATATATACATATTATTTGGAATGCAATTTTTGAGTTGGGCAATCTTGGATGTGCGGGTGGTGTAATGGATAATGGCTCGGAATTGGAAATCGGAGATCCGAGTTTCAATTCCATTTGGCTTCGTTAAATTCACTTACGAGCAAATATTCTGGGGAAAGGTATGGATCTTTAAGTAACCTACAAAGAGTTGATAAGTCGTAAAAAACAATTCAGTTAAGCTATCAATAATCTGGGCTTAATCTGAGCGAGCCAAATGCGTGCCCTTCTCTCTCCAGTATTCACTTGTCTCTCCACGGTGACAAGATGTGACACAAGGTCGGTTTCATGTGGTGCAGCCGACTGCGTACAACCGAGCCATTCTCTCTCCAGATACAGCCTGACATAACAGATTCTTTTTATATTTACCCTTTGGCTATACAAAGACGGAATTCAGGTGTCAAAAAAAAAAAAAAAGAAAAAGTGGAATATTAATGACTTTGAAAGCTGCAGAAAGAATATTATCAATTTTCGTTTATTATTAATTTGTTTACAACCAGGATTATCACATTTTCTTTTTTGCTATTTTTGCTTTGTTGTAGTATTTTTTTTATCTGCATTCACTAAAGTGTATTGTTTTAAATCAGAGGGTAGCCATGTTACTATCACCTTCATTACAGATAAACTAATGTATCATTCATAACAATTTTCTTCTCTGAATCTAGAAATATCTCATTTAGGTTCATTTAGTTAAAAATTATCAATAATTTTGCAGAACGATATATTTTAGATACTGGCATACACACCACAAGCCATTTTCATTAATAATAATAATAATAATAATAAAATGATTGACGCAACTCTTCCAATATTTTTCAACAGTTAAGACAAGAGCGCAATTTAAGAAAAGATAAAGAGAAGAAAACAGATTGTTTGAAAATGTTAAACAATATTTCAACAGAATGTCTGTCTTCTTCAAGTTATATTTAAATATGTTTTTTTTTTCAAGTATAAAAATATATAAATCTAGAAAAACTTCTAAGTCTTTGTACAAAGGTTGTGCAATGACAAAAGTACGTAGGTGTAGGCTTTACGAAAGCTTTATTCAACTGAAAATACAAGGTTCGCGTATAGTGTCCTTTCATAGTCCCACTAACAAAAATAGCCCCCTCTCAAAGAGGAGAGTAACGAAACTTGATTATTCATAACAGGTTGCTTGTCGTGTAATGAAAACGCGACTGTATTGGTAATGAAAGCGTCAGAACGAATGATACGTTCTTAATGATATTGATCTTGTTCATCTTGGAATTTTTTAAATTTACAAGATGAACAAGATCATCATCAAAGCACTTTTCAGTTGCATGCCTTCACGCTAGTGGCATTTCATTCTTTTTCTTTTCTTAAATCGCGCTCTTCTCTTAACTGTTAATAATAATTATAATAATTTAATGGGGTCAATAAAATGAAGGCTATTAACACCTTAGTAGTAGCATCAACCTGTAGTAGCATACAACTTGAACATTATTAAATGCAAGTTGAATGACATTAAAAGATTGGACGCCAAGACTAGAAAAATGCTTACCCAGACGAGGAAGAATCAAATCAGATGTTGAGAGGCTGTACGTACCAAGAGCTTTAGGAAGGCGAAGTTTAATCCAACTTGAACTAACTCTAAAAACTGCAACAATCGGATTGGAAGCATACCTCACAAAAACCCAAAAACCAATGACCCTCTCCTAAAAATAGTAAAACACCAAATCCGCTCCATCAGCAAAGAAGCTGCACTCTTTAACTAAATATACCTGTGACCCTACGAACAAAAAACGAAGCGAATACCATCTACGCCAAACGAGTAAAACAGAAAGCAAGCAAAAAGAAAAAAAAAACCTGGGAGGACAAGACGTTGTACGGCAAAAAGAACGAGACGTGGACCAACAGAAAACATATCAGTGACTGAGGAGCACCGGGTTGAAAGCTGAGACAGAAGGCCTAATTATTGCAGCTCATCACCAGAACCTCGCAAACAGATCCTATCACTGTCACATAATCAAGGATGGTACTAACCCGAAATCTGCGGAAAACATGATGGAACTGTCGACTATATTATCTCAGTATGTCCGAATAAAAAAATATATACCCACAGATATAACAAGGTAGCGACATATCTGCACTGGAAGATATACAAGAAGCACAAAATCGAAACCACTGAGACACGGTATGCGCACCAACCGGACACAGTTACCCAAAATGATGTAACTATTCTCTGGGACATGCCAATTCAAACTGACAGGGAAATAAAAACCAACAGACCCGATATTATCATAAAAGACAACAAATTCAGAAAGAGTATGCTTCTTGACACCTCCATGAAAATTTATTGTGAAATTGTCCGAATACAAAACCTGACGATCGAGATTAACAGGATGTCGGGACTGAGACTGCCAATAGTAATCGGAGCCTTGAGCTTCGTGAGAAAAGGAATGGACAATTTTACTGTTCCAGGTAATATCAGCATACAAGTTACCCAGAAGATCGCCTTACTAGGAACTTGAATCAGCTTATTAAAAAGTGCTATCAATTAAATGACAATTCTCTTACAGGGACTACAGAACATAGTTTGAACCCGGCTCTACAGGATACAAAGCAGGAAACATAATATATTCAAATAATAATAATAATTGTTGTTGTAACCTAAGAAAGGCTACTGAATAAAATAATCAAACGAAGGTTGGTAATGAACGATAACACTTAGGACAAGAACAACGCATATAAGATTTGCCAGCGGCGCGTAGAAGTATTAGTCAACTGCTAGAAGTGAGTCAAGTGAATTCCACAATGGATCTTCAACTGCAGGATATCTACCAACCGCCCTACGTGGTCAGATGTGGTACAAGGCCGAATTTAACGGGGGGTATCTGAGCCCGTAGGCTCGGCCAAAAATTCCCCGTTGACCCCGTATAAAACGGGGTCGGGTAGCTGTTTTCCGAGACGAGACTCTGTCATTCGACATAGCCTCGTCTGGGGATCCTCTCTGTCCGGATGCAGAGTGTTTGACCAGCGTAGCTAGAGACAAATCTCAAACTGCAGATCAACATACAGTATTTACTATTGTATTTATGTGAATGGGGACATATCCATTATCGTCCATAGGTATGCTACAACAACAGCAACAACAACAATAATAATCACTTGCCCGACTTTAACTAGGGGCTGACACATTGCATATATATTATGAGCAGGATTAGTGGAGAAGCTTCGTAGCCGGGTGTTGAAAGTGTTACATTTTGAATTTTGAAGGATGAGACAGCAGAAGCTGCTTGTGAGTCGCATCGAGATACTTGGGAACACTCACAGTCGGGGATCGTCTAAGGTGATTGGGTTACCCGACTTGAAGATATTTCTAACTGGGTCTCACCTAGGAGGTTAGGCGCTACTTTTATCAAAACCAATAACTGTATCGCACGCATTTGGCTGTGATGCACGCACATACTATACTCTTACCAGGTAGGGTGTTGCGATGAGTATACTGGGCTTCGTAACACGGCGTCACTTTGTTGGTGTGCTGCTCCCTAACTTAATAATAATAATAATAATAATACAGTTAGCATGTCACTCGCCGCATGACAGTGATATTAGATTCCTTTTTCAAATCCTATCACAGTGAAAATTTCTCGACCAGATCAAGAAGGCATTCCAGTTTAAATTCTGATGTTTGGTCATGTGGTAAGATTTTGGGAACAGGTTTAGCCTGAGAACTTTACGGCACCCCTTTATCGACTGCCATTTATTTAAGGACCACAGCAACGCACTGTATGGAATTAAATGTCGGACTATAGTGGTTGCATTTAATCAGATGTAGTTACTGCTTCAGTGCACTCGCTAATGCTGAAGTGTTGTGGGGATGTTAAAATAGTTTATCTAATATCGGAATTTCATGAAAAACAGATTGCTATCATTATTATATTAAATTCCCATTACCCACTCCCGTGTTGATAATCGGTTTTTCTCTACGCCTCCAACTATCTCTTTCTTTCTCGACCTCTTCGTGTTAAGCGGAGAGGGAAACTGGAGAGACTTGTAAGTAACAGAAGTCGGCCGTAGTCGGGATCATCGGGTCAGTGCGAACGATCCTTTTCTCAGCTTATCGACGGCTACATATAATTTTGAATTTAGAGTTTTCTTTCTCCTAGATAGGTTGCCATCCAAGGACCAAGTCTGTTATACTATTTAAAAGAGTTGGATTCATACCTTTCCCAAGGGTATAAGCATTTAAATAAATGTAATGAACTCGAATGGAATTCGAACTCACCTCTACGATTCTTCAATCCAAGCCGCAATCACTGACTCTACCGTGCCTCTTAGCAGGTCAAATCCAGGTCAAAATTCGGGACGACGAATCTTGATTTTTTAGGCAATCAAGTCCTCCCAGTAATTAAATCTATTTTTTTTTTTTCATAAACATTGGTCTTAAAAAAATTGCTTAAATTTGTTATGCTTACGCTTAATACAGACGTAGCCAACCTAAGGTACCAGCATAGCCTGGATTGAGAGATGGAATTTCATGGAGCATGCCAGACTGGCTTGTGCTCATGAACGATGAGTCATTACTTAGTAAAGTGCCAGTGTAACTTGAACGGGTTATGAGGAATTTGTTGCTCATACTGCTTATAATA